GGGTCCCTCCCAAGCCAGGATATTCCCTGATTCTGTGACCTCAGGCTTCTCCCAGTGATGTCTCAAGAGCCTCACACAGCAAGGCTGTTGGGAACATCCACACACCAGCACTTCAGCTGGTCATGAACAGCCACAGCCAGAGCTGCACAGACACACCTTGGATGGAGAGAACCAGAATTCTGAATATTTTTAACGATTCAGCCAAAGGTAAAATCCTGCAGGTGGCCCTCTGTGCTAAATGATCATAAGGTGAGGACAGCCCTTGGAAGTGATGAGATAAAAGTGACACCCTGAGGCACCAGTCCAAGTGATTCCAGCGGGGATGTGCTACTGGATTGCAGAAGGCTCTGAGGAGATTCCCTCCAGCACACCAGCCTGGACAACAGGAAGAATTTCTTCATGGAAAGGGCTGGGCTTAAAGGTCCCTTCCCTCCCAAAACATTCCATGATTCTACGATAAAAATGCTGCTCTGGGAATACTTCAGCAAAACAGTGGTTTTAAGAAAGAACTCCCTCAGTTTGTAACGGGAATTAAGGACATGCTGGCCTAATCCAGAAATGTCCTTCAGCCCTGTGTTGCCCCAGGACAGGAGGGTAAGGGGATGGCATGAAAACATGCAGGATTTTAACAACCACAGCCTCTCTGCCAGAGAGCCATCCTGCACAAACCAGCCCACGCTTCTCTCCTGAGTCACACCAGCACTGTAGGGCCATTTTTAATTCTTTTTAAGGCAAAAGGTGCTCTGTCTGTTGTCACCATTCGTTTCAATAGTTGTCCACAAACTTCAGATATTGCCATAGAGGAGAAATGTGAATGTTCCTTAAAGAAGGAGCTTCTCAAAACCTCGGAGTGAATGACCTCCCTGGCAGGTGTGTGACCCACCTTCTGCATCCTCCTCCTGCCCAGCTGCCAGGAGCACTCTGGATCTCTTTCCCTGGGCGAGGCAATGCCTCGAGGAACAAGAGGTGAACGATCTGCTCCAACTGTCACAGCGAAAGAACAAACGACATTATGTCTTCAAAGCTCCTACTTACTCATTTCCATGAACAGCTGCCTCTTCTCTGCCATGGTCCTCCTCCTCTTCCCACTCTCCTCAATCATCCTGGAGACAGAAATGGCAAGCGCTGTTTGTGTCAGAATTGCTCATGCTAAGTTTGAGAAACTCAGGGCAGCATTAATACAGACACAGAAATACCACCCGTGGAACTCCTCTGTGTTCAAAGGGGGGTTTGTTTGCAAAACATGGAGCAAGCCCAGCCCAAAAGGTGATCTGGGGGCCTTTGGGGTTCGGGAGGAGAAAGCGCATCCCACTCCTTCCCTGGGCTGCCAGAGGTCCGGGACAGCCCTGCTCCCTGCAGGATCACAGGCTCGCTGAGGCTGCAGAAAACCTCCCAGGATTTGGGGGGGGATGTTGGGGTTGGGGGGCTCTTGTCTTTAAAGAAAACTTGTAAAAATTCATTTCACTTTGAAACCCAGTAATGCCTGAGCTCAAATCATACTTGTCAGGGAAGCAAAGGACTTAAACATAATTGAGTTGGAAATAAAAACATGTACGTTGGTGGCACAGGCCTCCCTTCCTCAGGAAAACTTTATAGAAGTGACAGCAACAGAGAGGAATTTGTACCCCAAGGGAAGAGAGCAGGAGGACAATTCAGCACCTCTCATGGCACTATACAGTCCTAAAAGGTGCTGAATTTCAGTAAACTCCAGTGGAAAAAAAAGCAAGTTAATTCAGTTATCAGCGTAAAATCTAATTTATAATTTACTTAATTACTAAATTATTCTCCTGTTACCAGATTCACCAACTCATGGCTTAAAACTTAGGTTTAAACCAGTGGCTTAAAAACCATTAAATATGGTTTTTAAGTGTCTAAGATCCAAGGACCAAAGGAAAGCATCTCAGTGGCATTTGTTGAGGAGATGTTAAAAGTTTCTTCTCCTTTTCAGGTTCCCAAAATAAATTCGGTTTATTAAGTTAATGAACATATTCAAAGAGAGTATCTCAGCCAAGGTTTCTCCCCAGGAACTCACCTGTCCCTCACTGCAGGCAGGAGCAGGAGGTTCAGTGTCCTGGACACCGGGACTCTGTCCCTGAGATTCATCTTGTTCGAGCTCCAGGTACCCTCATACACTGCCCCAGGCTTCAGAATCTTTGGAGTATTTCTCTTTATTTCCCCATCACATAAAAATTATGCAGGTCACCTGGAAGCCCACCAGGTACTGTCCCTGAAATCCCCTTTATTCCCACCACACCCCTTTAAATTCCACAGCGAGGGACTCCAAGGGGCAGAAATCCTCTTGGAGGACTGGATGAAATCACGTGAAATAGTGATTTCATGTTTCAAACTGGTTTTAGGAGAGGTTATTTTACCAACACACAAGGGACAATAACACTTGAATCTCCTGCCAACACCAGGAAAAAACAAGATAACACGAGATCTCCCTCTCCCTGGGCTTTACATGTCCCTCATCCCTCCCTTTCCCTGCAGACACCTCAGTCACACAGTTATCAAATCCCAGAATGGTTTGGCTGGGAAGGGACCTTAAAGATCATCCCCTTCCACCCCTGCCATGGGCAGGGACACTCCCACCAGCCCAGGCTGCTCCAAGCCCCGTCCAACCTGGCCTGGGACACTTCCAGGGATGCAGGGACAGCCACAGCTCCTCTGGGTATCCTGGCACAGAGAGGCCCCTGCAGGGCTCAGGGTGGGAGTCTCAGGGGTCATTCAGGGTGCAAGGGCACCTCACAGAGCCCTGTCACACAGAATTTGGGTTCAACAGGTCAGACTGACCAGGATAACACTCCTAAAATTCCAGAGGAGCCAGTGTTCTCCACAGGGAAAACGAGTGAGTGATCTGTTCATGCTGCCCTTGAAACGAAACCTGACTGAGGGACCTGCTTTGTCCATCATCCCAGAATCATTTGGGTGGGAAAAGCCCTCCCAGCCCGTGGATCCCCCCTGTGCCCCATCCCCACCCTGTCCCCCAGCCCAGAGCACTGAGTGCCACGGCCAGGCCTGCCTGGGACACCTCCAGGGCTGGGCACTCCAAACCTCCCTGGGCAGCCCCTGCCAGGGCTGGACAGCCCTTTCCAGGATGGAATTGTTCCCAATATCCAACCTGAGCCTCATTCTGGGCAACCCTAGGCCATTTCCCCTTATCCTGTCACTTGTCCCCTGGGAGAAGAGACCAAATCCCACGTCATTAGCAGATACTTGGAAATGGCCTATGAAATCTATCAGAATAATTGACAAACCTGGTTTTAATTCCTGAACAAGGAGACACAGAAGGATCCCTCGGGGATGACGCTGGGAAGAGGCACGATGGAAAGTCCTTCTCAAGTTCCAAACAGGAATGAACCAAACCCACAGTAACTGCAGCTATGTTTAGGATACAAATTACAGAGCTGGGCTCATGGCACAGGGAGGGGAAGCAGCAGCTGGTCCTGCACTGGTTGGGTTGGATGTTTTGGAGTGGGGAACAGGTCTGGGGTTTTGGTGGGGGATTTTTTGGGTGGTTGTGCCGTGTAGTTTTTTAAACACTGGTGGCACAACGGGTGAGAAAAGTGCCAAGAAACACACACAGACTGGAACGTGGCAGCCAAGAGCTCCTGGGGTGGCTGCTCACATTCCATGGGCACACGGGGGGAAACCCCCTCAAATACAGCATCAGGGAACCACCGGATCCCAGAGTGGTTTGAGTGGAAAGGCACCTTAAATCCCATCCCATTCCACCCCCTGCCGTGGGCAGGGACACCTTCCACCAGCCCAGGGTGCTCCAAGCCCCGTCCAGCCTGGCCTGGGACACTTCCAGCGACCGGGAGATCAATATTCAGCTTAGAGCACCCCAAGATGTCACACCTTAGAGGGGAGTGTGTTTGATGAAAACCTCCACAATCCTGCCATTTCCCTTTATCCATTCCCCTTGCTCCCCCTGCCTCAGGAGCAACACAAGCAACTCTGACACAGTCAACAGAAAACCTAATTTACAAATTCCACGCCGGTTAAATGTGGAAACTCCTACACTCAGCCACCACCTCAAATGGAACTGCAGCATGAAAACTTTTCTGATCTCTCTCGTTCAAAATTTTTTTTTCTTTTCTTGTTTATATTCCACTCTTCTGTTGCAGGGATCTCCCTTTTCCTTACCTTTAAAGGCTCCCTGCCCCCCCCACCACGTTCCTGCAGATCCCAGCCAGGTGCTCCCAGGATTCAGGCCAATACTACAGGACCTTTCTTAGCAGGTTTCGCTCTTCTTGGAGCTCATCAGCTGTAGGTAACGGCCCGAGGGAGCAGCTTTGGCTCCTCCAGCTCAGCCTCTCCACTCCTGCCCAACTGCTCCTATTTTGGACCTCCTGCTCCTCGAGGAGCTTTGTTGTTTGGCTTTCACACCTGCGATTCCAGGGGCTTCCTCACTGCTTCTAAATGACTCCAGTTTACTCATTAAGTCACTTAATTGGCCAAAGATTTTTTTTTTCTTACGGTCAATTTTATTTTATTTCCACCTTTAGGATACACTCCAAAGGAGACTCTGACCTTTAGGATTTGATAATCATCTCCAGACAGTGGTTTGCACTGAAACTCAGCCTCATCAGCCAAAGAAAACGGGAACAGAAAAAGAAAAAAAAAAAAAAAGTTAATTTACAAATTATTAAATCTGAGTTTTTGTTCAGAGTCTTGATGTTGAATTTTAGTAGCAGAAATGATATTTAACTGTTGCTGCAGGAGGATAAAACTGTGCTCATACCTGTTTATGCTCAGAAATGACTCTTGGGGGCACAGGTTGATCACACATGGAAGGAAGTTCAGAGACATTCTGCCATTTTTCTGATTCGGAGGAACAGATATTCCTCATGGCTCAAGGAAAAGCTCTCATTCCCTCTTAAAAATATAATTGGGATGAAGATCTTGAATAAAAACTCAGGGTGTACCAGTACTAGCAGAAGAAGTTACTCTCTTCCATCTGGTTTGGGCTTCAACTCACATTTCATTTGAATAGTTTAAAATAATTCCTGAACTGTAATAAATATTTTGTTGAAGTGCAAAATTAAATGTATTTAATATGTAAAAGTGTTTACATTTAGTCATCTTAGATTTCAGTAAAAATATGAAATATTTTTACTTTTCTTTCCTAATTTGAACAAAGACTCCCCCCAAAAGACTGCTTTCATTCCCTCATCTCCCTCTGTGGATGCTCTTACTCATTTCTTTGCTCTTCAAGCTCACGGTTCATATTCCAATCTCCCTTTTCTCAGCAGTCAAACATTAATAGAACTGATTAAAACCACTTCTTTGTTCCCCTAAGCCTCTTCCTACGGGGAAAAACTGATCTACACGTGATTCCAGGGGGACACATCTAACCCTGGGAGGGGAAAAGAGAAACCTTTTATATACATTCAAGTGGCCTGGCAACATCTTCTTTTAAAGGCTTTTTAAACTATTTCTGGTAATTTTTCCAGTTTAACTTCCAATTTCCAACTCTGTTCCCACCACGGCAGGGATAAGTAACTAAACTAGAACCGACTGTGCACAAAAGTAGGAAAAGCACTTTAAAATGTTATTTTTGGGTGTCCAGCAAGTACAGGAGCATCTCTGGGAACCAACATGCACCTTCCAGCAGCAGCTGCCCCAAGTCCTGAAGGACCAGATCTCTCATGGATGTTTTTACGGGCTCTAGACTCAAATGTGAGACCTTCACAAGCCAAAACTCACTTCAGCCTAGAAGGGTGTGAGTGAAAAACCCACTTGGCCAAGAGCCAGGGAGTGAATTATAACTCCTCAGTGATTATAACTTTGCAGTGAAATTCTACCCAAATCAAAGGTTCCTTTTTTTTTTACCCCCACAAATACAGTGGATCCAAAGCTGTTTTGGAAGATTCTGCCAAACCTGCCCAAACGACACAGCAAACCTCATTAAATGTGAACAGGCGATGAAGTAGTTTAGGGAAAAAAAATGAGTACTAAAAAATAAAGCTTTCCCTTTTCCATGCCTTGCCATTCCTGTTGGAGCTGTAGGGTTGTCCAAGGCGTGAGATGCCATCGGGTTTGTTCCTGCAGGACCTTCTGGCTCTGCAATCCCTGACAGGAGGGGGGATGTCCCCAGTTCCCAGGGAATGAGGGACAGGAGGAGAGGGAACGGCCTCCAGCTGTGCCAGGGGAGGGGCAGGGGGGACAGCAGGAGGAATTTGTCCCTGGAAAGGGTGGTCAGGCCCTGGCAGGGGCTGCCCAGGGAGGTTTGGAGTGCCCAGCCCTGGAGGTGTCCCAGGCAGGCCTGGCCGTGGCACTCAGAGCTCTGGGCTGGGGCACAGGGTGGGCATCGGGTGGGACAGGGTGGGCTCGATTTCAGAGCTCTTTGCCAACCTCATTCTGTGATTCCATGAAAACATCCTGGCCTAAGCCCTAGGATGAGCCCAGCAACCTCACGTGCCCACATGGCCAGAAATTGATAAAGGTTTTACTGGATGCAAGTTAAGCAAAGATGGAAAAAGTAACAACACTAACTGTGGGTTTCTTTGAAAACTTTCCAAAGCTTTCAACACTACTTTAAAAAGAAGCTCCAGGTTCCCTCAGGACAAAATAAAACAAATTCAAGTCCAGTAGAGTTCCAGACCACCTGCATTTCTGTCACCTCAGGTCTGCAAGTGCCAGTTCAGGGCCCAGAACAGAGAGAAATCCCAGCCCTGAGGAACTCACGGGTCAGGCAGTGACGAGGGTGACGGTGGCACTGGAGGTTCCTGCTCCAGGTGTCATTTGAGCTACCCAGCACTACATATTCACTTCCAGTCCCCAGGAATCGCTCAGCCCGGGGGCCCAGCAGATCTGCAGGCTCTGAAGGACAACAGTCTGTGTTTAAACACGGTTTTGCACAGTCAGATCTGTTCCCCAGCAAACCACAGAGAGGGGGGCAGAGAGTTCAGCACACTCAGTGCCCACAACGCTAAAATGCTTTACTTGAGTAACCAGAGAGCCAAACACTCTTGTTTCACTGTACTGCCCCACAGCCTGAGCAGTAGGAGTGGGTTTTTACAGTCTGTCTGTTGGAGGATGAAGTTCATGTCTGTATGTGGGATTTACCATGAGCCTGCAAACAGGAGCAAATCCAGCACCCAAAACTGTTTCCTTAGAATAAAGCAGTGCTACTGTTAGATAAGGTAAATGAAACATTACACCAGGATTTTCAAGGAGTAGGAAGTTGGAAATATCCTAATTAAGAGCTGTGCTTCCCAAAATGCACCTGGCAAACCCTTCCCAGCCACTGTACCGCGCAGGGGCCCAGCAACACTTACAGAGCACAGCAGAGAGCTCTAAAGCTGCCTCTTCAGCCAAATGGAATATTAATTATTAGGAGATGTTCTGAGTTCCATTTCTGCCCTTTTCCCTGCTGACCTGGACTGGGAGATGCAGCAGGTGACAAACACACAGCTGCAAAGTTCACCCAGTGCTCCCCTGGCACAGCTGCAGGGATGGGAAATCCCAGTCACTCCAGTCCAGGGGCAGCGAGAAACACCTGGAAACACGAGCCACTTTCCTCACCACCACTGAGCCAGGGATAAAAGAGCTTGCTCGGTTTTAATTCCTTCATTTCATCTCCCAGATTAACTTAAAAGGTAAAAGGAAAAACGAAGTAAGCCAGAAGTAAAACTTCAATTGATGGCACAGGCCATTGCTCCTGTAAAACTAAGAGTGTTTCTCCCTTAGCTTTGCCATTTTCAGTTCTAAACAATAAATTAAATTAGGGCCTCAGCTCCCTCCCTGGTTGCTTTATGCCAGAACACCCGCTTTGCTCCCCCACCTCTTAAATCACAGAATCATTTAGGTTGGAAAAGACCTCCACCATCAGCAAGTCCATCTTTTGACCTAAATGAAGTTAAAAGCTGCACTAATGAAGACTGAAAAATACCTCACCCTTGCAGTCAATCAGTAACCACTTAGAATTATTATAATTTTAAGTGGTTTTGAACCACAGACCATCCTTTATATATCCAGTCTTTTTTAAATTCAGTGATGAATTGGCCCCTGCCATCATAATTCCCTTTGTTTCCAAAGAGATACACCTGGCCAAATAAAACTCCACCACAGATATCACATTATAAGGTCTCCTACCTTTTTTTCCAGATCTAGGCTGCCTAAAAGTCTTCACTGGCATAAGCCTTTTAATAAACACTAAACCAAACAAGAGACAACAAAACCGTGATTTCTTTTCCCTGGTACCAAGGGGGAAATAATTAACTTAATAAAAACCTTATGAGTTCAGATCCTTATCAGCAGAATCACCTAAAGCTCACCCAGGGCAGCCCCCCCAGCCAGGCCAAGCGTGGAACCCCCAGTGGTTACTGCACCAACCCATCCCCAAGGCGCCGCTTCCCACTGCAAGACTTGATTTTCTCCCCCTTCCCAAACTGTCCCCGAGTGCACAACGTGCAGTAAACAACAGACAACCAGGGCTGCACTGCTGGGGGCCGTGGGATTACCCCGGGGGGAAATGAAGCCTCCCTCACACAGCACGAGCCCCTCTGTCCTTGTGTTAGGCCTTCTTCCTAAACCCTCCGCACCATCCACCACCTCCTAACACTGGATTACTGCTGGAACACCGGGCCCTGCCACAAACCAGAGGCCTGACTGCGTCAGCTGCAACACAGCCAGCAAGTTCTAAACAACCCACAGCCCGAGAAAGCGGCAGCCTGCTCCAAAAAAACAGGGAGCTTGGGACAACAGTGGCATGGCTTCTGCACTCAGCAGCACAGAGCCAGCAGTGAACAGCGAGGGGGTGCCCCCTGGCACTTCCAGGGGGTCCTGGGTGTGCCCCCTGGCAAGGGGGATCCTGGAAAAAGCAGGAACAAACTCCAGCAGGCTGGACTGGGGAGCTGCTGCCTTGCGACTGGCCAAGACACCCCAGCAGCAGATTTGGGATGGATTAAAGCAGAGGACAAGACAAGAAGCCTGGGTATTATAATGGGAACGAGGAGGAGCCCAAAGGGAATTTAACAGGAACACGTGGTCAAGGAAAAGGCCTCACCCAGACACCTCTGGAGCAGCATCCTGGGCAGATGGAAGCACAGCAAGGATCTAGGGGTCAGAGGAAACTGGAACTGAAACTTTTTTAACTGGTTCAGGCACGTGGAATGGTTTGTCACACCAGACAGAGCACAGAATGATCAAAGGTTGGGGTGGGATGGGACCCTAAAGCTCATCCAGTCCCACCCCCTGCCCTGGGCAGGGACACCTCCCACCAGCCCAGGTTGTTCCAAGCCCCGTCCAACCTGGCCTGGGACACTTCCAGGGATCCAGGGGCAGCCACAGCTTCTCTGGGCAGCCTGTGCCAGCATCAGCCACAGAGTTTGAGGAACCAGAGTAACCAAAGAAACTGAAAGTACAGAGCACAGTTAAAGGGCAGCAACACCCAACTACTGCCCAACCTGCAGGAACTCCGATTCTGTCCCCCCTGTGACTTCAAGCAGCATAGAAACAATTCCCACAGTATCCCTGTGCCACCCTGCCCATTCCCTGTGGCTCAGCAGCCCCCGGGGAAGGAGACAGCACTACACTGGGGCTCTAGGCATGGTGAGGCCCTGGCACAGGCTGCCCAGAGGAGCTGTGGCTGCCCCTGGAGCCCTGGAAGTGTCCAAGGCCAGGTTGGACAGGGTTTGGAGCAACCTGGGCTGGTGGGAGGTGTCCCTGCCCATGGCAGCAAGAGGAATTAAATGTTCTTTAAAGTCCCTTCCTACCCAAACCATTCCATAATTGGATTCACCTTCCCCAGCCAAGGGCTGTGTCGCACCACGATGCCATTCTGTGGGAATTTTAAGTAGAGGAGTGTATCTATCTTTTCCATGTCCAATACATGATGTAAAATGCAGAAATCACTGCTCCAGGTCACAGGTTCATCATAAAAGAAACATTCAGGACCAGTTCCGGGAGCGTAAGAAACAGGCACCTGAAAAGAGCATTTGTGCTCCATCCCACAGTCAGTCCCAACAGATCCCGGTACCTGAATCACACGGACGAGCCTCTCAGGGCAACTCCCACTTTCCTGGGCTCGGGTCCTTCTCCAAACATGTAATCGACAACCTAAAAAAGCGGGAAAAAGGAAGTTTATTGTTTTGTCCTCCAAGCAAGCAGCGGTTTTCCAAAGAAAAATTACATGCCCCGTATTCTGCAGACACAACGCGGCGCTGCTTTTGCCCTGGTGGTGTCCCCCGTTAGTCGCGAAGCGCTGCAGCCGCTCACGGCGTGTCCGCCGCTGATCCCAAGCGCTGCAGCCGCTCACGGCTGTCCCAGCAGCCGCTGTTCCGGAGCAGAGCGCAGCCCGGCCCGGCCCAGCCCCGCTGCCCGCACTGCCCGGGGCCGCTGC